CGTTGTTCTCAGTCTTGACTCCTTCCTTGGGCTTTTCGTCGACCATGGGGAGCGCCTTAGTCTCCTCAGCTGCAGCTTCACAAAAGAGGTACCACGTTCGCACCAAACGAGCACACAAGCAGCACCAGGAGCGGCAGAAGAAGGAGTCGGCAGCGGTGGACGAAGGAGAGCTTGAGAGGTTTTTTTTGTTTTTTGTTTTTTTGATTCGGAGTCTCACTCTGTCGCTCAGGCTGGAGGGCAGTGGCATGATCTTGGCTCACTGTAACCTCCACCTCCTGTGTTCAAGTGATCCTCCCACCTCAGCCTCCATAGGCACACACCACCACACCCAGCTAATTTTTTGTGTTTTTTAGTAGAGATGGCGTTTTTCCATGATCTCAAGCTATGTGTGCACCTCAGCCTCCCCAAATGCTGGGATTACACGTGTGAACCACCAAGCCTGGCCCTGCATAGAATTTCTTCTGCATTTTTATCAACAATCCATTTGGCATATGTCTTAGTTCCAGTGGCCATAATAAAATACCACACACTGTGTGGCTTAAACAACAGTTATTGTCTCACAGGTGTGGGGGCTGAGAGTCTGGTATCAGGATATCAGCATGGCAAGATCCAAGTGAGGGCCTGTTTCCATCTTGCAGATGACCACTGCGTGTTCATGTGGCCTTTCCTCTGCACATGCATGTGAAGAGAGCAAGCTCTCATTTCCTTTTCCTATAAGGCATTAATCTCATCTTAAGAGCCCAACTCTCATGAACTAATCTAACCGTAACTACCTCCAAAAGGCTCCATCTCCAAATACCACCATATTGAGGACACAGGCTCCAACATGTAAATTTGGGGGAGACACAAACATACAGTCTATAACAGCATATTTCTGAGTCAATGTCTAGATTTTCCATTCTTTTTCCTTTTTTCTATGTGTGGATTCCATCAGTGTGTATATTTCATTAATACCCTGTTCTGTGGGGGTTCGGTCAGGCTGGTGGGAAAAAAATTAGTTATAATAGCCACAAACCCTCTTGGAAGGCCTGAGAGTTTGCATAAGCTCCAGTAATAAATCTGCCTGAAGGCAGCCAGAGTCTCTCTGCAGCAGCCAGAGAGCTTAAGGTTCAAATACAAATGAATGTAGAGTAGTTTATCTAACTAACTTGTTTACTCATGTGGTCTTAAGACTAACCTTTGTTTTACGGCAGGTGCTTAATTGCTTTCTACTCGGAAAGTCCACAATGTCAATTACCCTCTAGTGGTGTTTACTCACGACCTTTGTCAATTAATATCTACTGAATAAATGCAAGTCTCGCTAGCTGAGTGAGGCTGTGGCTGCTACTAAGTGGCCCAAATGCTCAGCTGGACTAGCAAAGCAGAATATCTGTGTGTCAGTGTACTTTTTTCACCCGTTGTTGGGTCAGGGTCTGTGGGACGGACCTCCACACTGTTCTCTTATTGCAACTTTATACAGTAGTCCGCCCTTATCCAAAGGAGATGCATTCCAAGACCCTCAGTGGATGCCTGAAACCTTGGATAATATTGAGCCCTGTGAATACTGTATGTGTGTGTGTATATACATATAAATATGATAAAGTTTAATTTATGAAATAAACATGGTAACAGATTAACAACAATAACTCATCAGAAAACAGAAAAATTATAACAATATGCCAGCATCACTACACTTGCACTTTAGGGCCATCATTAAGTAAAACAAAGGGTACTTGAACACAAGCACTGCAATACCATGACAGTGGATCTGATAGCCAAGACAGCTACTAAGTAACTAGCAGGTGGGTAGCATATACAGCCTGGGTGTGCTGGACACAGGTTGATTCATGTCCATGGAGTGATGGCATAGGACTGTGCAAAATGTCACCATACTACTCAGAATAGCATCCAATTTAAAACTTATGGATTTTTTATTTCTGGAATTTCCCATTTAATAGTTTTGAACTGCAGTCAAACTTAGGTAACTGAAACTGTGGAAAGCAAACCCTCAGGTGAGGGGTGACCTGTTATAAGCCTTCACACTGGCTTACACCATATGATGAGTCCTCATGCTATACTTTCTTTTAAAATTTTTTCAGATATGTCTAGTTCCTTTGCCTGTTTATTCAAATTTTTCAATAAGGTTATTTAGGACTAAAACACCTCATTGGGATTTTGACAGGAATGCCAATAAACCTATAAATCATGCCGATGGGAACTAACATATTTACTATGTTGAGTCTTTCAATCAATCAAGAAACCATATATCTTCAATTGTTTCAGTATTATTTTCTTTCTTTCATCAGCATTTTGTAATTTTCAGCACAAAGGTCTAATATATATTTTGTTTAATTTATACCAAAATATTTCATTTTCTATGGAATGATTATTAGCGGTTTTTTTTCTGATTTTTAAAAAATTATACTTTAAGTTCTGGGGTACATGTGCAGAATGTTCAGTTTTGTTATATAGGTATACACGTGCCATGGTGGTTTGCTGCACCCATCAACCCCTCCCCCACATTAAGTATTTATCCTAATGCTATTCCTCCTCTAGTTCCCCTCCCCTTAACAGGCCCTTGTGTGTGATGTTCCCCTCCCTCTGTCCACGTGTTCTCATTGTTCAACTCCCACTTATGAGTGAGAACATGCAGTGTTTGGTTTCCTGTTCTTGTGTTAGTTTACTGAAATAATGGTTTCCAGCTTCATCCATGTCCCTGCAAAGGACATGAACTCATGGTTTTTTATGGCTGCATAGTATTCCATGAGTATATGTACCAAATTTTCTTCATCCAGTCTATCATTGATGGACATTTGAGTTGGTTCCAAGTCTTTGCTATTGTGATAGTGCTGTAATAAACATATGTATGCATTTATAGTAAAGTGATTTATAATCCTTTGGGTATATACCCAGTAATGGGATTGCTTGGTCAAATGGTATTTCTAGTTCTAGATTCTTTTTTTTTTTTTTTTT